CAGTTTTCTTAAAACTGGATTTTTGATCGATTTTTAAAATATTTCTTAAAGCAAATATTGCCCATAGCCTCAGCATGGTCGATTCTCCTTCGTTCATTCGTCTTCAAGACCACCAATAGTTACCGGCTGCCGGTCCTGGCACTCGTAGGCAATCCGATATAGTGCCCGAACTGTCGGAAATCAAGACCTCGTTTGTCTGCCATTTTAAAGAGGACGCGTCGCACTAGCAGCCTATAAAAAAAATCAATACAATCCTATTGGAGGATTTCTATACACGGTCTGGTTTTCCGAAGAACTCTTCTGAAAAACTTTTATAATCAAAACCTGTATCCAAGTCTCTGCTTTCGAATGGTGAAAACCAGAGCACTCTAGCTCTTTTCTATCAAAAGTTATTCGAAAAATAGTCATATACCATTCTTTTTTTTGGATGCACAATAGTGGTAAAGATTTCTCTATGAGTGAGTGTATACATGTAGTCGTTGATTAGTCCAACAGAAATACTCTTAATCAATAGCCAACTGTAGTATCCTACTGAAGATTGGAAGTGTTGCTAGATTCTTGATGCCATGCTTGATTAATATCATGTTCGGAAATTAAACTTGGTCGGATTGAGAAAGCTCGATCTTTTTTATATTTATTCTCAACACCCGCATTTAGTTGCTGTTTTTGAATTAAAAATTTTTTTCTAGTATACACTAATAGTGGATTATGTGTTAACGTTAGAGCCATCATCCATCTTTGTAGGATACGTGAATTATATTCTTTTGTTTTTCTGATAATTGGCTTGATAGCACCGATGAATGGAGACGGAGATATATTTCCATTCGTTGCATGATAGTTCTCATTTTGTATATTTGATGTTGTTGGGTTTAATTTTACTTTCAAATATAAATAACTTGCAAAACATAGCATAACGGGATGTGCGTGCTCTCTTTCCATATAGATACATCCCACATAAGCACTGAAACCACTATCAAATCTTTCCAGTTTTCTACCCAATGGTGAATAATCTAAACGACACATATAGATCAGGGACGCAATAACAGAATAAACAATTCGTATAACACAAGAGACAAAACCGAGAAATGCATCAAGAAAAGCATTAAAATAAAGAAAAATCATTAACCATCGACGATTATTCAATGCCAAAACATCACCCCAATGTTGTAAAAATGCATATTGAGCTAATAATTTATTTAAATACAATTTAAACAATATAAATAATAACACCGGAATAATTTTTTTCAAAATACCCTCTATAAATTCAACTGAGCCAAATACAATGAAAGCATCAATTGGAATAATGATGAGAAATGCTAGAAAAGCCAGTGACAAATAGCCCCATACAACATAACCAATAAAATACCCTAGAAAAACAATTTGTGCTAATAAATGTGTTAATAAAACTTTGAGAAAGACTAACCAGCAAAATGAAAATTTGACGTTGCTACACTAACAGTATTCAGTGTCGCTCGATGAGGTAATTCAGCAATATCGCCCCGATAGACTTGAAATAAATTTCGTCTTATAGCAGCTAATTGTAATGTTAATTGTAACAAAACGATAACTGTGGCAAACATAATACACACAACATACGGTCCCACAAATTCAGGCAATGGAAATTTATTTTCGCCAAAAAGTTCATTAAACAGTGTTGTTAGCGTTTGATGGTAAGTACCTAATGTTGGAATGACCTGAGTAATACGAAAGTAGAATCCTATAGTTTAATTTTCTAGATTTTAAAGACTTACTTTTACGCAAAAATTAGTTGTCATGAAAAATAGCAACATGAGTGCTGAAGCATAAACAGATAACACACGTAATGAATAATGAAAATCATCTCGAATCGTGTAAGTTTTTTTTGGAATAATTCGTGACAATAATGTTTTATTTTCTGGTCTTCTCTCAAGTGGTATGAATAAATATCTGACATATCTTGCTTCAATAGAATGTTTCATATAGGATAATAATTGTCTTTCTTCTCTTGATAATGATAGAGATGTTGATATTGATTGTTGTTTCCGATTCATTCGTGCGCGTATCTTTTTGATAAATAACTCTGGTAATTTAACCGATATGTAGGCTAAACAAATAAATCTCGGTATATCTATGCAAGCATCAATGACAATCAAATTTGAGCCTGTGCCATAGTATTCTAATAACGATTTAATATCGTCCGTACTTGAACCATTTGTTTCTTCGTATAGATCTTCGGTTGGATAATAATTATTACATAAACTTTGATCAAGAATACTAACAGAAAAATCTAACCAACTATAAAGGGTGGCCAAAAATAGAGCAAAAATTGTATCCATATGAATAGCGGCCAATGTCGGATAATAACGAAATCCGATCACCAGCACTTGGAATATTCGAAGTAAATACTTAACAATCACACCTAAAATGCAAATCAAACTCTTCAACTAAGATAGGTTCTTTAATGACTGATCGAGACTGCTGTATAATTCCCACTAAAATTCAGAAAAGTCCTCCGTGAATTTCGCAAAAAAAATTCATTTTTTTAGAAGTCCAGAGAAGATAAAACATCTCATGAGTATCTCCCACAACTCTCAATCTTCTTTTTGTTTTCTTGATATACTTGCGAGGAAACGTACCAAAGTAATACCTTCCGATTTCGTTCGTTCATACGTCGAACGATAGACGGTATAAAGCCAGTAGAAAGCCTAAAAGGATTCTCCCCATGACTCTGGAAGACCCGACTTTAGGGAAAACCAATTTTTCAGAAACTCTAAAAATAACCAAAACCTTAATTAATGAGGCAGGATTGTAGCCCGCAAATTTCTGATTAAAATGAGACATCTCCGCTCTACATGACAAAATTATAGACTTTACAAGAAAAGCCCTATATGTTCATTGTCAGCTGGGGGATGTCTCATTTTAATCAGAAATTTGCGAGCTACAAATATGTCTCATTAAGACAGATTTTGGTTACTTTTTAGAGTTTCTGAAGAACTAGTTTTCAGAAAACCGGGTCTTTCAGAGTCATGGGAAAAATCCTTTTAGGCTTTTTACTGGCTCGATACCCTCTGTCGATCGACCTATGAACGAATGAAATCGGAAGGTATCACTTGGATAGGTTTCCTCGTTAGTATACAAGTGCCACTGATGTCTTAAACATTTTTCAACTTTTTCTGTCACATTTATAATTGTAAACTATACTGAAAGAAAGGTCGGTGGAGAGCAACGTCGACCTTCCTTGAGCAAAATATTGAAATATTCAAATGCTAAAAAAACATTCGATAAAATTTGCAAAATATTATAAAATTTTCCAAGCTTTTTGAGTGACTTTTTAATGTGAATCTCGCACAATTTCTTACGGCTTTCTCACTAGGATGAACTGTGCAAAAAATTAAGAAACTATTGCTAACCTTCTCCATCAGATTTATTTTCCGTTAGTACTTGATAAACAATTTCGAGTAGTTCATTTGCTGTTACAGCAAAAATGATGGCTGCAAGTTTTCGTNTTCGTTTAATACGGGCAAAATAATCGAGTGGCACTGGTGGAGCCAAATATCCATGGCATAAATTTTTTTTAAGCGAATTTCTTTTTGATAATATGGCATAAAGAATGATTAGAGCACATGCAACCGGAAATGTTAACATATTGAAATCTTGAAGATCAATTACGGAACAGATGTCATTCGGTTGATACATGAGCGTTTGATTAGTTTCATATTTATTGACAATGTCATTGTGAATCGGTTTCAATAGAAATGCTTTGATAATCAGTGCAGCGGCAGCAATTGGCAAAATTAATGCTGTGATTATGACCGATGAAATGCTGCATGTTTTTTTAAAATGTCCAACAGCCACTGCTGAAACACTATCAAGCTTGATATCAGATCTAGAAATGGATACATGGCAGTGACAGTTGTACAAAGTTCATGTTAAACAATGATGACTAACTTTTCCGTATTCTCTTTTGTACGTTTCTTTCTTACAGTATTGACTATCGTTAGACCATAAAATATTACCAGCAAAATACCAACTAAAACTCCTAACGCTATAACTTGATTTCCTTCGCTTGTTTCTAAAAGTAAAAAGTGGATAATCGAGAATAACAGAAGAGAGAGTTGAACGGATTTAGTTTAGATCTGTATGATACTGACACCTCATTTTCGTGTATTGGAAATGATTTTACAAAGACTTTACAGTTTTGGGTATCCAGAATCGATCATCATACATAATTAACGTCCGTGTATTCAACGACTGGTCAAACAAGAAAAGTCATATCAGCTGGTGAGAGGCAGTTATTAGCACACAACTAATAAAGTATAGAAAATCAAAACTTGATCCAATTTTTCGATTTTTTTTCTTATCATGGCAATAAGTTTGAAGATAAACAATAAAAGTTCATCAAAAGGTTTTTGTCTAGATCATTTTTTAGAAATTTAAAAGCTTTATTTTAAAATATATTAATAATAACATCTAACTTGACTGTCCAATTCATAAAAGACTGTTATCAAAAGTTAAGTCAAGTTACGGAGTATTCGAGAATATTTATACTGTTGAAATCGAATAAATCAGAAGCAAGTGTATGGATTTTTTTAACTGCTTAAAACTGACCAGTTAAGTTTCACGTATAGATCAGTTCTCGCCATTTAGTTTTATATTCAGTGTCTTTATGGTGTTAACAGCGGCTCCTGAGAAGCACTTTGAATTATATGCTTAATACGTTAGGCAGTATAAATGTAATCTCGTCTCGAGAAACATGTCTGATTTCTCGATCGGTAACAATTTAAAAGTAGGAAATTGAAGATTACTGTTGAAGACGTGAAAGTGGGAAGGATCCATCTCAAAAGGCGATAAGTTTAAGTTGTGCCATTCTCATTAGAGCCAAGTAATAGAACGTACTTTACCGCTACATTCTGATTGCTAAGATCAAGTTAAAAACCTGTAACCTGTCTATAACACCCAGCTATAACACACATACGGAATGTTTGCATCAATAATGTCCCATTTTGACGAAAATTATTTTCTAAAATAAACGTGATCCAGAATATTCTCTCTAAAAAATCCACCGAAACATACTCTAACATAGAGTCGAATATGCTCTTCGAAATGCGAGTGATCTCGGTGTTCGAGAATCCTTCTTTCATTATTTCACTTTTAGCCAGCCAAAACCTAGGAAAAATTCAAATTTGTGAAAGTTAAACACGCATTAAATATGACTGAATTTACGATCACGAGAGAAAAGAGAACGCGGATCACGAAGAAGAAGGTCAAAAACTTTTTGCAGACAAAGTTTTAGATAAACTTAGCTTTCTTCACGCGTTACTTTAACGAAGTTGAACATTTTACATTAAAGAACATATTACTAATTCTTTACCTCTTTGGAGATATAACATTAGACTTCTAACGGGACATTTTTCTCTGCAATTCTGCTGAATACGCTTTTTCTGGTTAGCTTATTTAAAATTTTAATGACATCCTTAAAAGTTTTGATTTTGCATATTCTGGGATTTTTTTTTTGTATACTTATTAATTATGTATATTTCGTACAATAATAAACTGGGACGAATTAAGCAAATTTTGTGAAAACTTCCAAAGATACGCCCATTCTCCGAAGGAGATGAAAGTTTGAAGTTTATTTTTATAGAGAGAATCTTAGGGAAAAATGGGCCTCGGAAAATGTTGGCGTTTACATAGTCTTTCTTCCTTGTTAAGTACAGGTAACAATGTTAGCAGGTAGGGCTGTAGAAATATAGTCGCGCCAGTGTTTTTGCTAGAAAGCTTACTGCTCCTAGTAAAAGTCACGGAAGTTTTCACACTTTTTACGCGACAGAAGCAACGCTGACAAGCTTTTTCATATACACAGAAATTGGGATGAATTGAGAGGACACTTACTCGATGTCACTCCAAAGGAAACAGAGCAGAAAGAAAAAAATAATACTTTCAACTTCAATATCTAAAGGTGAAGAGAGTTTGATTTTCTTCCTTTCTGATCTTTTCTAGCCCACATAACAAGTGCTTTTTGTTAACTAAAGTGACCTTTTCAGCAACAAAAATCCTAATACTCTCCGACCATAACTCTAAAATAGAAAGTACGTCCTTCTACGGCTTTCACACTTATTTGTTTTTATATATTAATACACAAATGTGGCATTTGAATTATGCCTTCAACTGAATGAATAAACGATTTTTTCCATGGATAATAAAAAAAATGGTTATACACACCTGCATCACAATAGTCTCCGGCCCACCAAAATTTACATCTGCACGTTAGAACACCATCAGTAACTTGACAATAACCGTGAACACAAGGGTTTTTGATCGAACAATCTACATTAACAGAGCAAAATATGTGAAACCTCTATGTGTAATACCTTTAAAGAAATAATCTTTCAACTATCGATTTCAAACAAGAAGAGATTTCATTATTTTTCTAATAACTGTTGATAGAAAAGAGCGACAGATCTGCAGTTTTCAGTTTTAAAGGAGAAAATACTAGGGTTATCGTATTATTGAAAAATAAAAATAAAATTACCACCTGTAAATGGTAGACCTCATCAAAACCTTTGCAATTTTTGTCTCTCTTGACTAAAAACGTTTCAGGTTTTGAATGCCGAGAGATAAGTTCGGATCTCCTAACGTTACTCTATAAAACTGCACGAGTTTCAAGATTCCATCCACCGCGATTCGGTCGTTCTAAGATGTTTTCGAGTACGTACCTATCGGCTAAACGTCATCTTTGACAACTTCCAAAACACACGGAACGTAAGTTATCGACCACGCTGAATCTCGTGACAATGTTTATTTTCGAAAAAGCTTCAAAAAACTAGTGAAAACTGTATTAGACGAAATAATCTATTTTTCACTATTTTCATCGAAAATTAAAATTCATAATCCAGTCAAAATTGTTCCAAACTGTTTTAAAATATCAATGTAGACTCCATTTTATCTTCTTAACCGTATTCTGCAGTAAAAACTAGTAGGAAACATTCCATTATTCCCAAAGCTCTCTAGAAAACCTTACAAAAACCGAAGTATTTCGTGTTGGTTGTTAAAACTTCGTCCTGTAGCACAGATAAAATGGAGTCTACGTTGATATTTTAAAGCAGTTTGGAACAATTTTGAGTGAGTTATGAATCTTTTAATTTTTCTGTGTAGATAGTGATTATTTATTTTATATTAATGGATTATCTCGTCTTATATAGGTTTTCACTAGTGTTTTGAAGCTTTTTCGAAAAATAAATATTGTCACGAGATTCAGCGTGGTAAATAACTTATGTTCTGTGTGTTTTGCAACTTCCTAAAGATGAAATTTAGTCGTCAGGTAGGTCCTCGGAAAAAACTTTTAGCATCCGAATCACAGCATATGAAATCTTAGTGCTCGTGTAGTTTTATAGAGTAACGTCAGAAAATTCGAATCGACCTCTCAGCATTCAAAATCAGAAGCTTATTTAGTGGAGAGAGACCTATTGGAAAACGATTTGATGCAGATGAGATTTTTATTTTTCAATAGCTTTAGAACTGAAAACTGTAGGTCTGTCGCTCTTTTTTATCAAAAATTATTACAAAAACAATGGAATCTCTTCGTTTTTGAAATGGAGAGTAGTGGAGTATAGATATGCACGGATACCATTTTCATAACCATATCCGACTTACGGCTAAACATTTTCTCCTTTTGTTTTCCAGCTAAAAACTTTTGTTTTTCGGTTGAAGATGTCAAATTATCATTACGTTCTCAAATAATTCTTTTTTAAACTTTCATGTATTTTAGCTAAACTCCTGTATTTTTTCACTAAAATTTTGTAGGTTTTCCACTAAAACCTTCCGATTTTCAGGTAAACTAAAAGAAATAGAACCCGTATCCACCCTTCGGTTCGGTACGGGTACGGCTTGGCTTGCACATCTCTATAGTGGAGCTGACTCGAAATCAAATTTAAATCTTGTGTATGCCATTTTGCTCAAAACTTATCATTGTCTTGAATCGAAAAGGTAATTTGGTTTTCGACTTTTATCTTACTTGTTTGTCCATCTGTTAGACGGAATAACCCAATTAATAGAAGAAAAGCTTTGTAATTCATTGTAGATTATGTATACTTGAATGTGTGAAAATTTTCTTAGTAGGAATTGTGAAACTGGAACTCAGTCATCTGAAAGAAATTGAAAAAGAAAAAAGGACGTCTTTTTTTTTTTCTAGCCCCTTTCTTTACCTCTTTTTTTCCTTTTCCATGTTTTTGCAGATTATTATTCAAGAAAAATATACTTATTTGTTCTGAACTGTCACAGTTCTATTCCTTCAAAAAGTAACAGAGATGCCATTCAACGTTCTTGTTATAAATTAGAAAAATAATTCTTTTTCTTTTCCTTTTATGTAAATAAGATATTTTTTCAGTTAACTATTCATTCATCGACAAATACCGCTTTTGACGTACAAATGATTTTGAAAGAACAACACACTAAATGTTTTTAAAAGTTCCTATAGACAGTTAATTGATAATAAAGATTTCGTGTTTGTTTTTTATCAGAAATCTAGATCAACCTGACCATCAATCAGATTAGTAGATAAAGATGAATAAAACAGAAACAGAATATTGCTAACTATGATGTTTTTAAAATAGAATGGTATAGGCGTTTCTTATAATATTTTGTGATGCAAAAAGATAAAGAGTTCAGATTTTCTCATTGTAGATAAAACATAAAAGTTTTTGAATAAAATTTTTTGTAAATTACATTTTCCGGTGGTGGACCAAACGGATCTTCAAAGGCGTAAGCACTGCTCTGTTATTACCGCTAGCGGTTTTTAGCTTTAAAACATAACGAAATAGCCTAAGATATCGTCTATTATTCTCTACAAGCACGAAGACATAGATTATCATAATACTGGAAATATAGCCATTTTGCTGAGAACTGTGTCCGCAATTTTACGTGAAATCTGCAGTCCTTTGACGTCAAATTCAGAGTGGAAAATTTAGATTTTTTCAACCTCGTAGAATAACTTTTAAAACTTCGTTCTAGGCTTAAAAGAGACTGAATTTTCTCTATTATTTAATGATATGCTTTCTTTAAAACTCCTGAAATAGTAAACTTAGAGATGAGATGGTGTTCGTAAGAAACCACTATCATTCACACATTTCGTACGACGTAGATATCTTATCTCCTTCTTATTATATAATGCTGAGCAAAAATGAAAATCCTTTTATCTCGGTCAAATCTCATGCTGACTCAAAGAAACTTTCAAAAAACGCTCAGGATAACTCACAAATCGTAGTCGAAGACGAAACAAGTGAATTTCAGCTGGGCATTGGTTTAAGGTTTTCCAGAAACCCCCGAAGTTGCAGTGTTCTGATGAACCACTTTTGCGACTTGATCAACAATATACGACGCCTTTTAAGTCTTTCCTGAAAATTTCATTCAGTCAGCATTAGATCTGTCCGAGATATAAGAATTTTAATTTTTGCTGGTAACAGGCGAAGAACCGGTTTTTCGCAAAAATGCCTCTGGCCAAGGTATTTTCATTTCTACACAAAACCAAATGCTACCACTATGCTCAGCGTAGTCGATTACCTATATTCCATGACATTTTGAGATTCATAGAGATGTCTGCTTGGAGATAAACACGCGCTCGGGAAAAGCGAGCTCTGTCCGAACGACAATAGCTGGAGAGCTACGACTTGCATAATTTTGTAGAGTAACGTCTGGACTATCTATGCATGCAAAAAAATGACTAACATTGTATATTAATTTTCTGGTAATGGAGCTGATTTTCCAAAGATCCACAAACTGGGCTCCCAGAAAATTTTGAAATATGCTTCTGCTTATAAAAGCTTGTCTTAGACTCGCATGTTAGCAACACGATGGTGAAAATCGTAGGTCGCTATCTATCAGTGTGATTGAGTTATTCCAAAAATAATTGATGGCATTGTATTTTGGAACGGATCGTAGTATATGTATGAACCAAAATATCTGCTTCTTCTTTGTCTCTGTTATTACCTCTTTCTGTGAAAACTATGACTCACTGTTTTTCTACAAGTTACTAAAATGTATCGATATACATTCAAAGGATATGACATAAAACTTCCACTTTCGTTCTCTAATGAATGTGAAAGTAGTGAAAGAACAGCGAATATCGTTATTTATTTTGTCTCGTTCTATAGTCAAACGTTAGCCATACTGTTGAAATTCACTTATTTCGTCTTCAATTACGATTTGTCAGTTATCCTGAGCGTTTTTTGAAAGTTTCTTTGAGTCAGCTTTGACCGAGATATAAGGATTTTCATTTTTGCTCAGCATTATATAATAAGAAGGAGATAAGATATCTACGTCGTACGAAATGTGTGAATGATAGTGGTTTCTTACGAACACCATCTCATTTTGAAATATGTTTCTGATTACAAAAACC